CCTCACCTAGCTTCACGTGGCTAAGTCAAGAACCAGATGCTCCAGGCATGGCAGGGGCAGACAACAAAGTGTGGCTCCACGTCACAGTGATCTGGGGAGAGAGCATAAAGGGTCGAGGCCTGGACCCTGCCCCAGACTGCTTTAATCAGTATCATAGCGGGTGGGGCCAAGACAACTGGTGATTTTTTTAAAGGCAGGTGACTTTAGTGGGTGGCCAAGGTCATGACCCACTGCAGAGGGTGAAAGGAAAGCTGTGCCTGGCACGCGCGTGGGTTTACATGCCAAGTGATTGCTTCTGACTGTGGGGCTTTGCGGAAGCCCTTCTATTAGCCTGTTGGTAACATGTGACCACCTTCTGGATGTTTATGAGGTCCTCGTAGTGGCCTCCTCCACCTCCTCAATGGGAGAATATTTTCTGGAATTTCTGACATGCATAGTGGAACAACCAACTTGGCAGCACAATGGCTATTTGGATTACCGTAAAATGTTTTTTTTTCAAAAGAGGAGGCCACCAAGCCTGAGCTTTCAGTGTTTGCTGTCCGTCCCACAGTGATGACACCCGGGTTCTACTCCTCTCTTATCCAGTCTTCCACCAGAAGTGGGGGACGTAAGGATGTCTTTGGGGGAGTAGTGTGCAAGCGCAGGCGGCGGGAACGCAGCAGAGAGGGGTGGGCGCGAAGGTCGCTCTGGAGCTGGCATCCCGCGCCTTCGTGCGGGCCCCGCGCTTTCTGCTTCTCTGATTTGGGCAGTTGCTGGATCTACTCAAAACACAGTTGTGGCATCTATAAAAGCAGGGTAATACTCCATCCAAGCTGCTGTGAGGAAAAAGACAAACTACATCTAATAAATCCTCAGTCCATATTAGCTCTTATGGAGGCAGGACTGAAGTGGAGCGTGAAGGCTCTAAAGCCAGACGGCCCTAGTTTGAATCCGGGCACTTACCAGCTGTGTCTTTGGGCAAGTTACTTAGTCTCTTTGGGCCCAGTTCCCTTGCATAAGCAAAGCAGATAAAAACGGTACTTATAGGGTTCATATAAGGACTAAATGACCTAGCACTAGGGTGGCTTCACATTGTAGTTTGCCCAGGACAGGTCTAGTTTATGCCTGTTGTGCTAGCATCTTGGCTGGCTTAGACTTTGCCTGCCCCATTTTACTCTCAAAAGTGTGCCAGACATAACAGTGCCAGAGATGGGATAATCCAGTAGATGGCCACTGTGGCTGATGTATATAGTGCTTAGAAAGGCGTCTGGTTTGCAGTAGGTGCTAAATGTGTGTTAGATGCTAAGACTAACTCCTGGAGCAGTGCTATCCAATAGAAACATAATGTAAGCCAGATTCTAATTTTTAATTTTCTAGTTAAACATATTTTAAAAAGAAAAAAGGAGTAACTGAAATCGGTGTCAACGATACATTTAACCTAATATGTTCAAAATATTCACATCTCAATATGTAATCAGTATTAAAACGTAGTGAGACATTTTCCTTTTGAACGTCTGGTGTGTATTTTGCATTTATAGCGCATCTTATTTGGACTAGTGCCACTTCAAGTGGTCAGTAACCTAGTAGACTAGTGAGTGACCTTTCAGGTGCTGACATATGGCTAGTGGCTACCATACTGGACAGCACAGTGTTGCAGACTTTATATTCCCCCTGAGTTGATGGGCCAGTCTTAAGGCCTTCTCATGTCTGTAATGTCAAGGATGAGATGTTTAGCTTCTCTGCCATACTCCTCCAAGCAGGGTTCTGGTGCAGAGCTTTGAAGTGTATTGCTGTCAAGCATCTTAGTCTTACATCCTAAACAGATGTCCTAGGTCACTGAGAAGGAAAGTATAGTAACTTACCCTTGGAAAAATCTCTGTTGGCTTCCTGGCAAGCGGAAAACTGTGGGCCAACTTTATTGCAGGCCACTTTATTACTACAATCTTATTAAATTATGAAAACCAAGTCCAAAGTTACTTTATTAATTTCTCCCATGTCACGGTTCCTTCCTATTTGAAAACATTCCCAAGAAAATACAAAAAAAAGTGGTTTTTAAAAATAAACATTTAGGCTTTTTCCTTTTGGTTATCTCCCTCCAAACTTCTGATAGTGTTTCGGTTTCATTCTCTGGACTGGCCCGATATCGCCGCATCCCTCTAAATCCTGCAGCCTCTAAGCAGACCTTGAGCACACACCAAACCCAGTGGAGGGTTACTTTTGGGCTTTTGTGTGATCCCTATCTCTAGTTCCTCCTTTAGGGACAGTAGCTCCTGACCCCCAAAGTCTTAGCTTTGGTTACCCAACAGTTCATAATCTAGGAAGACTGATGAGAGAGCAAGAAAGAAGGAATGCAGTATTATGTAATTTCAAAAATGGAAACGTGGCCCTAGCCATGAATGAATTTCATTTATAGATCCTGCTAAGTCCTGAATGCCAACACTCTTTGGAGCTGGTGATCTTATTGGTATGACAAGACTAACCTGCCAGAACCATTAGAGAACAGTGCCTTGCTGTAAAACGGAAGGACAACATTGCTTGTGAAGGCTCTTAAAGCTAACAGAACGGGCTCAGGATGTCAGAGCTGGAAAAATTCTCAGAGGCCATGCAATTCAATGTTCTCTCTTACTGATTCGGAGAGTGGGACCAGGATAGGTTCAGACACTTGGTGAAGCTCAAATGGCAAGTTAGTAAAAGAGGGGAGTTGGGAAACGTGGTCCCCTCGCTCTGGTTACTCCTAGTACATATCACACCACAGTTACCTTGATTTGGGGTCATTCCTCTACTAACAAACAACATGCTTTTCCTCCCCCAAAAGTTTTTACCAACTTTATACAGGTTAATTAGTTTATCTTTTTATTTTTTGAAGCTGTCACTTAAGTATTTATTTCTTTTAAATATATAATCTTTATTATATTTTTCCTATTACCATTTGGTCCCCTTATTCCCCGCTTCCCCTCAGCAATCACCACCCTGTTGTCCATGTCCATGAGGCCTTTTTCTTTTTCCTTCTCTCGCGCACTTTTACTTGGGTCTTGTCTCCATCAAAGGGTATTGTTCCATGTATCCTGATTCCAATTAGTATTTCTAAAAGGCCTGGGGGGGAGGTGGGAAACAAATGAAAGAGAGAGAGAGAGATACCAAAAACGAGAAGACCGTTCAGTCCCACGCTGGACCAGCAGTCCCCCTGCAGGTGGCTGGACTTCAGCTGAGGAAACTCAGGTGGCCTGAGTTTCAGGGGAGGAGGGCCTGGAAAAGGGTCTCGGCACATCACATTGACAGTAAGAGTCCTTTCCTCTGTAACAATCCTTCACCTGGAGTGGAACCTGCTGTTGTTAGATGGTGGGCTTATAAACTAAGGGTTATAAATACACACAAGCCACCTAGGGAGCCCCAGGGCTGACACAGGCAGATGCTTGGGACAGCCCCCTCCCCTCCTGCGATGTGAGAAAGAAAAAAAAAAGGAGACAGGCCTTCTAGGAATGAAAATAAGGCTGATGACCTTGCCTGACACAGTGATTGTTTAATGTTTGATGTTTTAACTCCTTCAACTACAGAATATACACGTTAACTCTCCAATGCGGCTCGGTTTACACCCTCCACCACACTTCACATCCCACCCTCTGCGATGTCCTTGCTTGAAGAGACCAACCTGCTAAAAGCTGGACCGAAAACTCACAAGCGGCAGTATCATCCCCCATTCCCTGCCCCAATACCCTACAGTGCACCCGTGACGTGAACTACAATGGAAAACCATGCTGTAGAAATGGCCAGCATTAAACCAGAATAAAAGCTTGCCAGTTCCCATTTCCTTTAGAGAGTGACTTTATTTGAAAAGGATAAAAGACAGGAAGAGGAGTACACATCTTGTTTTAAACGGGCTGTTCATCGTTTCCCTAACAAATCTCTGATGTGTGATTTAGGAGGTGAGGACCATGCAGCTGGTTACACAGCTTTTGCTCCCTCTTTGATACTTGGTAAGTCACCAGTTAAAGCCTTAATGGGCTGTTTCCGTGGCTGGTAAGAGGTTCAGCGGTGGGAGATGGGGCATGGTGAGGGGATAGATAAAGTCTGACCTGTAGATGTCAAGATCTGACCAAGATATTATCTCAATAAATTAAACTGTGAGGCGAATTTTACTTTTGTTGTTGTTTTGTTTTTATTTTTTAAGTTCAGTTGACTTAATAAAGGGGCTCCCACCAAAAAGAACTCATACCACCTAGTTATTCTGGAAAGCTTCCTGCCCTATGCCTAGAACCAAGCCGGAGAAAGGCGGGGCTTTGGCTAGTAAAGACTTTTTAGCCATAAGCTAGTTAGCATGACTAGAATGAATGGGGAAGCCGTCCCAAATTAAAGCAGGTGGACAGCTTTGAAACCCTTGGATTTAAAGGGGTCCATCGCGTTCAGACGCCTGTCTCAGCTTGCGGGCGAGGGGAGAGCGGCTGTAGGGGTCCCGGGGGAAGACCGTACCTCTTTGCTCCGAGGCATTGATTTGAAGGCTGGCTCCACATTCCTGCCTCTCAGCTCAGGCAACACTTGAACGGTGCTATTTTCTGTTGTCACCTGATGAGTGTAGGAAACAGTCACTCCAACTAGTTCAGTCCAGAGACTATGAGCACATTTTACTTTACTTTCTGTTCAATCATTTTGGAAAATGTAACCGATTTGATTGTGGTTAGAAGGTGCCTGGATCAGTAACACCCCCACGACTACAAACGACTTTGGAAATTAATGCTACTCGGGAACTCCTCCGTTCTGAGCCTGGGGGTCACAGTACCGGTCTTTTCCAGTAACTTCAGGTGAAACAACGTCTGCGGGGAGGGGTCCCACGATCCACGCAAAACTAAGAGCAGGCCACCGCCTCCCAAGGCTCGCGGCCGGATCCCGGGCACCTCCCGCAGGTCGGACCGGAGAGCCTGGCCGGGTCACCTGACTCGCGGAATTTAGGGCCCCGCGGGGTGGAAGGGGAGGGGAATGGTTAGCACCTCCCTTCCCGCTCCCGCGGGATCCGGGTCGGCGGGGCCGGCGCCGGGCGGCCACGTGGTGGTGCTGCCGCTGCCCCCGCCCCGCCAGCCCAGCCTCGGAGCCGCGGCGCCCACTGACCCCCGCAGCGGAGGAGGAGGAGGGACCGAGGCGCAGGAAGCCGGGCAGGAAGCGAGCCCGGCGGCCGCGTTTTCCTGGGGAAGCGGCGGGCGGGGTGGCTCAGCCAGCGGGACCCGGGAGCAGCCGCCGTCGACTGGATGGGGTGAGTGCGCAGCGCGGAGAGTTGGGAGGCTCCCCGGAGCGAGGTCCCCGGCTCCCGTCCCCGCCTTTGTGTCTGGCCCGCAGGCGGCGACGGGAGCCCAGGACGGCGCGCCGGGCGGAGCGGCTTAGCTGGCGGCAGCGAGGGTCCTGCTACCACTCCCTGGTCCCTCGCCGGCCGGCAACTGTCTGCGGAGGGCAGATTTGGGGACAGAGGAAGAGGAGGATGGTTGGGATCCGAGTAGAGGGAGGACCGAGCCAAGTTAGGAGAGGCGATTTCTCCCACCGGCCCCGATTCGAGGGCCGGCTGGGGCAGGGCGCGGGGCTACCGAGGAGCGAGCGCGGGTGGCAATGAATGACCGTCCCTCGGCGGGGCGTGCTGCGTGCGCCCTTGAGCTGCACCCAGTCCCACCTGCCCGGCCCGCCCCGCCCGGCGCTCGGCTTCCCCTGATCTCCGCTGCCCGGCTCGACCCGCCTCCGCGCTGAACTTGGAGGAGCTGAGGAGGAAGGCGGGAGCGGCAGACTCTGGATGGCTCCGGCGAGCGAGGGTCCCCTATTGTTCCGTTTCTGACTCCACGATCCCTTTGGCTGGCCCCAGGGTGCAGGCGCGGCCACCCCAGGCCTGCGACTGCCTCCCGCTGCCTGCTTTTCCCGCCGCAGCTCTGAGGACGGCCGGGAAGGAGGGATGCTGGAGTTCGGGCAGACGTGGAGCAGCTGGGACTTCGGGAGGAGGGAGGATGTGGAGCCGCGAGAGGGGCGCGGGCCGCCATCTACCTACTCCTACTTCTGCTCGGGAGGGTGGGCACTCTCCCTTCGCTGCCGGCCTGGCAGGTTTGTGTCCGCGGTTTAGTTTCTGCACTTTACAGGGTTCCGCAGCCAACCCCTGGCTCACGCTGTCTTTTGCGTTTGGACCTCGCATCCCCCTTTTGTGGAGTGGCGAGGTGGGGGAGGGAGGGAGGCAGGCTGAGAACATGGAGAGTCAGCGGACGGGGCAGACGGAGCCCAGTGCGAAGTGGAGGAGTCACAGGAGACCTCCCAGGGGCCGGAGCCGTACACCCCAGCTTTGGCTCTTCCAAGAACCTGAGCTCAGCGCAGCTTTATTTCCAATGGTGACTGGGTTAGACCTGCGGATTCCGGGCCGGTCACTTGGACCAAAGGCTTCCCTTGGCCTCAGACGCACAGGTCACTTGGACGGATCTACGTTTTCCTTCCGAGAGAGGATAATTCCAAGCTCCCTGAAATGAGGAAACATTGCCAGTTTCCGGGAGAATGTGATCTCCAGACTTTAGGGGTCTGGCCGGGGGAGGAGCTGTTTTTTGCGGGTCAGGGCTCAGCGGAAGCTCGTCTTAGCGAGGCGAGCCTCACCTGCGCGAGGTTCGAACCAAGTGGGATACGACGCGGTGCATCCCTGCGAGGCTGGATTTGGGTCGCTCTGTCCCCAGTCCGCAGGTCTCTGTTTACAGGTGTGCCTGGGAGTTTTATGGCCAATGTGTGTAATCTGATCATCTTTTCTTAATGATGCCTGACCAGCGTCATATTTTTTTCTCTCTTGGGCTTGTAAAATAGATTTCATGTGAGGAAATTGATCCAGTTCTTAGGATTTTTAACCAGTGCTTGCATAACATGGATGGGGAGAGGCGGTCCCATGCTGGGCTGTTGGGGGTTTTTCATTTCCATTCATTGAGGTGCTTCACTAAAGAATTTCCTGTGTCGTTTACACTCCTGACCTTTATTTTATGGCTTGGGGGGGGAGTGGTGATTACAGCCCTGATGAAAAATCTTATTCTATTATATGTGAAACTGAATGAAAAGAACGGATGCCAGACCCTGGAGACTCGGTGGGGGCGTGATATACGGTCCCTGCTCATTAGCAGTGTACCTGACAATGGGGTTCTCTCTCTGAATTGCCACTTCTCAAAGTATCTTGGAGGCAATGTGCACTTAGTAGCATTCGTTATAAAGGCGAAGAAACTGAGGTTTGGAGGTTAAAGAAACCACCTTGGAATTAATAGAATGTGATGAAGGAGTTTTGTCTCTTTCTCATCCTTCCTTTCAAAATAAAAATAAGTATGAAATGTTTCCAGTATACATCACATGAGGATATGGTAAGCCTTCCACTTCCCCCTACTACCTGTGTTTAAGAGTTGCTAATCTTCCCATACTTTCTTTATATCCCCTCATAAAAATAGACTGCAACCAAAATATTTTTTCCATCCCTCCTCCTCTGCCTTCCTCCTCAGGTACCTGCTAACCTCAAGTTTATATATAAAGTTTCCAAACGTGTTTTGGTACTTTTGGATATTACCTATTCACAAACTGTGAGCTTGTGTGTTTAACACTTTATATACGTGGCATAATTCTGTACACATACAACATGCATTTTTCAAAGTTGTCAGTATGCTTTTGGGGTACGTGCAGATCTTAACTTTAGCTTCTACAGAGAATTCCGTTGTATGGATAGGTTAGAGTGTATTCATGCCCGCACCAACAGAAAATTAGAGTGTTTCCAGTTTTTCAGTTACCCTTTTTCTGCGGAGGACAGTTGGCCTGTTTCCCCTTTTTTACTAATAAAGAGTGCTTCAATAAACATTTGCGACCTATTTCCCTGGGCACAAGTTTCTCTTACACGTACAATTAATACTTGGGTAATGGGGTCCAGGGAATGCTACATTTATTTCACTTCTCGACAAACATTTGGGGTATATATAGGGCTTGCTTGGTTGTTTGTTGAATGAGTAAGTAAAATTAATCAATTTTTAGCTCTAAGATTACTAGTTGACTGGATTCTTTTGTGTAAAAAATTTTTTTTTTTCTTAAATGAGGAAAGCACTTCAATTGTGCCATTGAAGCAGGAGACAACGTTGGTGCTGCCTCTGGGATTCTTGCCCTTCTCAGACAGTGGCTGGTGCTGTCACCTGGGATGACTCCCTCAGCCTTCTGCAGGCCTCTTCCTTGGGGAGACGAGGGGTTTAGTGAGCGTTTGCAGAGACACATTCCTGCTCCAGGAGTTTATGAAACTGGGGCCGTGTTCTTGACATTGTGGCCCTAATGGTAACCCCTCAATCTGGAAGCAGTTTAAGACATTTAAAGACATGGGCTTCTTCATTATTCCTTCAAACTGCCAACAACAGGCCTGCCTCAGAGCCCTGCGCTTGCGGCTCCTGTTGTCCGGGACGCTCCTCCCCGAGGTAACTAGGCATCCGCCGGCGACCCCTCAGAGCCTTACTCAGGCATCACGCTCTGAGCAGCCCTTCCCGGCCGCCCGCTTCCCGCACGCTGTGTTCTCTTTTCTGCTTTATTTTCCTCGAGGGTACTTACCACCTTCCAACTTGCCAGATATTTTAATTTATATTAGTAGGCTGTCTTTTCATACTAGATTAGAAACTCCATGAAAACGGGTTTTGTCTCTTTTGTTCACTGCCATATCCCTAGTGTTTAGAACAGTGTGGACACAGGGTAGGTACTCAAATGTTTGTTGAATGAATATCATGCTTTTTTGTTGTGGTTTTCTACTTAGAATTTCTCTTCTGGGTATCCTAAATGGCTGTCATTGAGTGCCCCAAGAGTCATATTTACAGGTTCCATCTGGATAAAAATTAGAGTATCTTACAAAGAAAGCGCTCTGCTTAAATTCTGTGACTTATCCTTTAAAACACTTGCCTTCAGATTTTTCTTATGCCACCATTTGCCTAAACCTGAATTCAGAGGAAAACATAAGTAAAACGATGCTCAGAACTGTACCCGTCTTTCCTTTTCTCGGCAACTTAGCTTTCCAGCATTTTAACTGTGGAAGGTACAGAAAGGTACCCTCATTCTCTGGTCCACACAGCATCGGTACAGACAGGCCAGCAACGGTCTTAGGCACTGCCAACCGCACGGACTTTCTAGGACTAGAAGTGTGTTTCTCTGAATTGGTGCAGGGCGAACACTCATTGTTGCCCTGGCTCTGTGCATTCATCCGTGAGGGTGTTTTAGAGGGTGGTGGTGGAAATGATGACCTTGTTCTAAAGATCCAGGAGCAACCAATATGTGGCAGGGTACCTAGAAATACTCTAAGAACAGTCTTTCACTCACGGTACTGAAAACATTCGCTGCTGTGGTGCTGTGCCTTATTCCCCTAGAAGCCAACGGAACTTTCTCTGTCTTGCGTGATGAATGTAGGAGTTGACAAGCAAAGCTAAATGTATCAGTGGCCTCTTGGGTATATTTTAAATGGGTGATAGGGGAAAGGAGTCAAGTGGGGAGTCCCAGTTGAGGCAGATGGTATTGAGCAGCAACGTGAAAGTCAGAGAAAGGTCTGGAACCCAGGCCCTTGGCCTTATGTGAGGATCACATAAACAAATCTGTTTGTCAAGCTTTGTTGGTGAGTGAACAAATTCTGGGCCAGGACCCTTAGTGTGACAGGGAGGCTTCTGTAATTGGAGTCTGTCCTGTGAGCGTGGACATATGGGTGACTGATCATTTTTCAAAGGTGAAAAGGAGCCCCTAACTTGAAGTGGGCAGTCAAGCTGCGGCCAGGAGCAGCTGCCCACGCACAGTGGCCTCTTCCTGCTGCCCAGGCGATGTGGGAACTTGTGAGTCAGTAGGCTCACGGACAGTGGGTTGCTTTTCCTTTCTGCCTTGGGGAAGGCAGAGGGAGATACGGCCCAGCCACAGCCCAAGCTGGAGCCCCGAGGGCCTGCTCGGGGCCCCGCAGGAGGTCCTCGCACAGGGCTCGGTGGGTTGAGGAGCTTGCCATTCTCTCTCTGAGCGAATTGGTTCCAGTTCCGTTCCACGTTCATCGTGGGTCAAAGTTGATGCAGATGCTCTCAGAACCTTCTTGGATCTTTGTTTTTTCTTTTTTTTTTTAAAGAAGTTTAGATTTTTTTTGAGGGAGGGGCACTAAATCATTGTTCTATTTTAAAAAACCAAGTTTCACATGTCTTTTCTGTAAGTTTTTTTTTTTTAATTGGAAAAAAACTATTCAATATATAGGCATAGAAACTATAACCCAGTATCTGTAAG